GGGCTTGCAGCAGACAGGGGTGCAGCAGAGGGGCTTGCAGCAGACAGGGGTGCAGCAGACGGGCTTGCAGCAGGCAGGGGTGCAGCAGACGGGCTTGCAGCAGGCAGGGGTGCAGCAGAGGGGCTTGCAGCAGACAGGGGTGCAGCAGACGGGCTTGCAGCAGACAGGGGTGCAGCAGATGGACGCACCGCAGGCTTCCTGGCAGGGGGAGGAGCTGCAGCAGGAGGGCTGGCAGCTAGACTGTTGGCAGCATGAGGTGGCCGAGCAGGGGGAGGCCTGGCAGCAGACAGGGGTGCAGCAGACGGGCTTGCAGCAGGCAGGGGTGAAGCAGATGGGCCTGCAGCAGACGGGCTTGCAGCAGACAGGGGTGCAGCAGAGGGGCTTGCAGCAGGCAGGGGTGCAGCAGACAGGGGTGCAGCAGACGGGCTTGCAGCAGACAGGGGTGAAGCAGATGGGCCTGCAGCAGATGGACTCGCCGCAGGCTTCCTGGCAGGGGGAGGAGCTGCAGCAGGGGGGCCGGCAGGAGCTGGTGCAGGCTGATTGGCAGGGGCTGGACCCACAGCTCACGGGGGTGCAGATGAGGGTCAAGCAGGAGGCTGGGGTGCAGCCGCTGGACTGGCAACAGCTGGGGGTGCAGCAGGGGGGCTCGCAGCAGCTCTCTTGGCAATTGTCCACCTGCCAGGAGGATCTGGTGCAAGCGGTAGGTAAGCAGACGCGGCTGCCACAGCTCAGGTCGCTGGAGCAGACGGGCAGGGTGGACTCGGCCATGACGTAAGTCCGGGAGCAGCAGGTGTCAGCCATGCTGGAGTTTTATGCTGGGAGGTGAGCTGGACGGGGATGTGTGTGACAGGTGCGTGAGTGAGGTGCTCTGGGTATCCGGGCTTTTATATCTGTCCTTGGGGTACTGAGCCTCACCTGAGTCTCGACCAGCCTTCCTTTTCCTTGTTATTGCTCAGAGTGTGTTTCCCGACAACCCTTATTAGTTTATTTGCTGTAAGATGTTTGTAACACCATCCCCAGGACTCTGATGTGTCTGGTGATGGCTGGTTGCTTGTGTCCGGAAAACAAACACCAGGATGCAGAGCTCCTGTTGGTTGATTGGCTCATGGTCGGATGTGTCTAAAACCTGGGCTCCTCTTTCCATTTTTGCTTGTGTGTCTTTGGTGTGAATTCTGGTCTGCTCTACACATGGCCCAGACACTCCTCACTGAACAAGGGTGTGTTGGCTCGGGGGACTGCCCCCTCCCCTGCTGCACCTGCAGACCCTGGAGGGGGACTCCCACAGTCCATCCCAGACACTGTTGTTATTCCCCTCTTTATCTCGCAATTACCAAATGGTGTGTGTATTCTGTTCTTTCCTGAGTTTTCAGTTTTATTATTTCTTTATTTCAATTTTTAATTTTTTAAAGTTTTTATTTTAATCACCCAGTGCTCATCACAAGTGCCCTCTCTAATCCCCATCACCTATTTCTCCCGTCCCCCCACACACCTTCCCTCTGGTGACCCTCAGTGTGTTCTCTAGAGTTAAGAGTCTGTTTCTCGGTTTGTCTTTTCTTTTTCCACCTTTGCTCATTTGTTTTGTTTCTTAAATTCCACATATGAGGGAGATTATATGATATTTGTCTTTCTCTGACTTATTTCACTTAGCATAATACCCTTTAGCTCCATCCATGTCATTGCAAATGGCAAGATTTCATTCTTTTTTATAGCTGAGAATGTTCCATTGTATATATACACCGCATCTTCTTTATCCGTTCATCAGTCCATGGACACCTGGGATGTTTCCATAGTTTAGTTACTGTAGATAATGCTGTTATAAACATCAGGATGCATGTGTCCCTTGAATTAGTATTTTTGTATTCTTTGGGTAAATACTCGGTAGTACAATTGCTGGGTTGTAGGGTAGCTCTATTTTTAACTTCTTGAGGAAACTCCATACAATTTTCCAGAGTGGCTGCATCAGTTTGCATTCCCACCAACAGTGTAAGAGGGTTCCCATTTCTCTGCATCCTCGCCAACACCTGTTTTTTTATTCTTGTGTGTGTGTTTTTTTTCAGTCATTCTGAGAGGTGTGAAGTGGTATCTCATTGTGGTTTTGATTTATATTTCCCTGATGCTGAGTGATGTTGAGCGTCTTCACATGTGTCTGTTGGCCATCTGGATCTCTTCTTTGGAGAAATGTCTGTTCTTGTCTTCTGCCCATTTTTCAGTTGAATTATTTGTTTTTTGGGTGTTGAGTTTTACAAGTTCTTCATATATTTTGGATACTAACTAACCCTTTATCAGATATGTCATTTGCAAATATCTTCTCCCATTCTGTAGGTTGCCTTTTAGTTTTGTTGGTTGTTTCCATTACTGTGCAGAAGCTTTTTATTTTGATGAAGTCCCAATAGTT